GCTTCTCTGGCTGTGCTGCCCTCCCTCACCAGTGCGTTTATTTTCTTGTTAGGCTGAACTGAAGCGTCGCTGCTTTGCTGGCGAGCTGTGCTGTGTCGCTGGCGAGATGTGAATCAGGACACTCGGCTCGCACTGTGAGTTTATCCCGTCACTCAGCAAAGCCTGGCAGCTTCTTTCCCAAAACAGAGGTGCTCTTACACGGGAAAGAGAGCTGATTCTGGCTTGGTCACCTTTTCTTCAGCAGCTTTGATGCTGTGTGTGGGAGCGAGTGGGCTGGGATTGAGGGCTGCTGTGARGATTGGGTCAGTGTATTGCTCATCTGGCAGGCTCATCTTCACTTTAGAGTTGTGATGAGATATTTAGGGGCTGCTAGGGTTAAACTTAGGACTGTATAGGCAGATAAATGTGATGAGGAAAGGTTGAGGGAGCTGAGGAGCTCAGCCCGAAGAAGAGGATGCTCAGAGGGGTCCTCATCACTTTCTACAGCTCCCAGGAAAGAGGGTGTAGCCGGGTGGGGGTCACTATCTTTTCCCAGGTAACAAGTGGCAGGACAATATAAAATGGCCTCAGGTTTCACTAGGGAAAGTTTATACTGGATATTAGGAAAAATTTGTTCACTAGGGCGTTGGAACAGTCTGCCCAGGGAAGTGGTGGAATCATTGTCCCTTGGAAGTGTTCAAAAACATGTGGATGTGGTGCTTAGGTACACAGTTTAGGGGTGCCTTGTCAGTGCTGGGTTAATGTCTGGACTTGATCATAAATGTCTTTTCCAACCCTAATGATGCTGTGATTCAGTAAAATATGTGTGTTAGAAAGTTACGCTGGTAAGCAGCAGCCAACCTCACCTAGGTTTGGTGCAGATGGGGATGTTTGTTAATAATAGTGACAGTCTAAAACAAAAATAACCCCAAACAAATTGGAAAGAGTCAGAAGAAGAAATGGAAGCTTTGATTTTGATTTTTTGTTTGGTTCCTTTACTGCCTTGGGAAAAAGGGAAAAGGAGCTTTTCTGGGGTTTTAAATAAAAAAGTAGTTACAGAAACACTGGTRTAGCTATTTKTGTTTTCCTYCAGATATCTTTTTATGGTGTTAAGKAGCATCCTTGCAGGGAAAGTTGGGCCCAGAACACCTAAGTAGCCTCTGCATGCATTGACATGACCTGGGGCCTGCCTGTTTCTTCTGTGGTATCAGATTTTTTTTAAATAATTTTTTTTTTCCACTTAAGAATTCTGTGCATAGAATGATKGATGATGTTCAGGTGGCTTTTAAAAAGAGCACAGAATCATAGAATGGTGTGGGTTGAAAGGARCCTTAAAACCTGGTTCTAATCCCCTGCCTGGACAGGGGTCCCTTCCCTCAGACCAGGTTACTCCAAGCCCCAGCCAGCCTGGCCTTGAACACTTCCAGGGATGGGGCACTGACAGTTTCTCTGGGCAACTTGTGCCAGGGCCTCACCACCCTCAAAATCAAGAATTTCATTCTGCCCCTGTCAGAATGAATGCATTCCCTCTTGTCCTGTCACTCATGGCTTTTGTAAATAGTCTCTCTCCATCTTTCTTGCAGGCTCTCACTGGAAGGTTGTGATTAAGTCACCCCAAAGCCTTCTCTTTTCCAGGCTGAATAATTCCRGTTCTCTCAGCCWTTCAGGATGATTTTAAAAAAATATGTTTTTTTTGCTGCATCATTTTTGCAGGGCAAACCTTAGGGTCTGGTCTGTACCTGATTGCTTGGCAGACCTCCTGAGGGACCAGATGGTTGTTACCTGCTGGCAGCAYTTCCCAGCTGGGTTCTGCAGCTTTGTTGTGCTTTTACTGGAACTATACAAATAATGGTATTTTTGAGCTTTCATGGGGAAAAAAAGAAAAAAAAAACAGCAAAACAGAAGGATATCAGCATTACCATGCTGCTCAACTGAATTGATATCGAGTTACCTGTGCAGACAATCTAAGACTTGGTTGTATTTTGTGAGTGAAAAGATGGTTTTTATGGGGCTCAACATCTCTTATGTGAGGACAAGCCCATTAATGGCTTTCACAACAGATATAAAAAAAAAGCATTGAAAATTGTGAATCAGAGACTTGGCAAGGTTTTGGAGTATGGTTTGGGACTTGGGAGCAGTTCAGGGGCGAGATGAGCAATGGAGGACATAAGAAAGAAAGAAAAAGAGCATATTGCCCATCCCCATGTGGGGTTAGGAAGTTCAATCTCAAACACACCTTTGCCCTCCTCACTCTTCAGCCTGACCCACTACACACTTCTCCCTTAGCTCTTCCCTTTTTCGTGTGTCTGTAACTGTCTGGATGAATTGTTTTTATGATGCATTTTTGCCTTAGCTCAAAATACTTCAATGTGAGTTTTAAAAAAATACTTCAGTGAGAACAAAGCAGAAAGTGGGGCTGGGAAAGAAGAAGCTAAGCCAGTGTACAGGAYTGTAAAAATCACACTCAAATTGCAGGACAAACACTGGATAATTCCATTAGGCTCTTTGGAAGGTCCCAGCACAGAATGTGTTTTCTGTCATGTTTCTAGGCCTTACAGAATGAGTCTTTTCAACAGTTAAAATAATTTTTAAATATTGGCRGGAAGCAAATATTTGCAGCTGTTCATTTTAACAAGTTCCTATTATCCTATAAATTCTTCAGTCTCGTAAGTTTTTATTCTGTTTATGTCAGGTATTAAAAGTCCAGAAGGACTATTACATTATCTAGTCTGATCTCTTTTGCAACATAAACCAYCTGTACTGCTGTTTATACCCTTTACAGACTTTACAATAGTTTATCACCCCTTTTCACATTGATCTGAAAGCGCTTCTTGCAGATTGTTAGTATTAGCAGGCTTTTGTATAATTTTTTTATCACACTGTTTCTATTGCTGAAAATATTTCGAGTTGACCTTAAYGTTTAGTTTGAGGCTAAATTTGCAGCAGATAGAGGAATGCAAGAATTTCAAAACTTCTTAGTTCCTATTGTTTTCCTCTTCGAGACTTGTTTTRTGTAAGAATGCACTGTGGCCTTGAAATGGCACTTGCTATTTTTTTTTAAAATTCTGTAGTTTTCCAGCTGAATGAAAACCTAATAAAAAATTAAAACAAAACAGTTCTTTGTTTAATATGRCAACTGAATCTCATCTGAAAAAACAGGTGCATTAGAACACTTGTAGTTCTTATGCTGAATTAAATTGATTCAGAACCAACATTAGCCTTTAAAGTAAAATGATTGTTTTGCTGTATTGTTTATCATCTTTCTTGCCATTATTTTTTCTTCTTCAGCAGAATATTAATTTAAAAATTTTTAATTGCTTAGCAACTTTGCACTTRCACCTCTCTCTGCAGCTCGCCATAACTACTGAGATCTCTTTTTTTTTTCCCACTGCCCATTATTTCAAAGCAAAACCATTGCTCAGCTTCTTGTTAAAAATAAAATGCAGAAGTGYTGTACAATTGACAAGCAGTTAAATTAATAAAAAAACAATCCAGCATTTAACTGAAATTTGCAAACTGGAGTTGTATGCTGGCACTACCTGGAATAGGAAGCTTCAGATGTTGTTTGCTTTTCAGTAATTTGAGGATCTTTTCATAATAATAATTTGAGGATCTTTTCATAATAATAATTTGTGTCTCTTTGTTGCTATGGGAATGAGTGGGAAAGCTGGAATTAAATGTTGTTACTCCTTTGTGCAATCAGGAAGGACAAGCAGATAGCTGTGAAAGCAGGAATCCTTGTTTAGAAACACACAGSTCTTTTACTAGCAATTCTAACTTAGTTGAGTTTTTATGTGGTTTACTAAGGAGTTTTTTGAGGTAAGAGAATTTGATTTTAGTTTATTCAGTGTCTATCAGCATAGCTAAGAAAATCATGACTCACTTTTGAAAGGGAGAAAAGCACATTTAAAGAAAAATTAATTCTAATGGTTTAATGTCTYGGGGTAACTATTACCTTGGAAGTGCAGTGAACACTTCTGCTTCAGGAAGAATTGTAGGAGATAGATATGAGTGTAACAGATTGAGAGAGGAAGGGTTTTGTCGTTGCTGGGTTTGGTTTGTTCATCGCTCTTCCCTGGGAAATTTGAGTGATGGGTGTTTCTGGACTCAGCACTTGCTGGATGCTAAAGGAGCAAATACAAAGGGACACAAGTTAGTCATTCCTTGTATGTTTATGTGTGCACTGCATAGACCTATGAATCTCATCTTTCAATATTATGAAGTCTAAAAGATCGAAATCTCCGTATTGAAGTCACCAAATGAGACTTTAATAAAATGAACGTGTGCGTATTTTTAATCTCCGACATTTCAGAAAGAAAAGTTGTGGTGTTGTGAATTTGGTTGGGGTTCTTTTTTCGTTCAGTTTTTTGTGCTAGACGATTCTAAGTGAAGGCTGTGATTTTTTGGTTAACGGTCTCATTTGAGGAAGGAGGCTTTTAAAATAAAAGAATTATTGGTACTTTAGTAACGCTCTTTGGATCGAGTAAATCGTGCTCCCTCTCAGGCGGTCACTGGCGRCACCCGGTGGCCGAATGCAGAATAACAGCCCCTGGCCGACACCGTGTCCCAAACTCTTGGGATTTTCCACCCAACAGCCTTGGCAGTGCATGTGGCCGTGGGGACGGRCACGCTCAAGTCCTCAGGCTGTTATCCCGACAATTCAGGCGCATGGAGAGGAGGCCACCTTAAGCTGGAAGCTGCATGCTCTCTGTGCATAAATGCCTTCTTACGAAGATCCTAATGTTGCTTTTTAAATTATAGAGTGAGCAAATATTGTGTCTTGCTGTTGTCTGCCTGGCAACGTGGTATCTTGGAGAAAGGAGCAATGAGCCAGCTTATCTCAGAGTTGCTTGTTTCTCAGTCTGCCTTCCTATTTGGGTTCTTTGCTGTGCAAGGACAGTGGTGGGTGCCAGGCTGGCGAGGTTATAAAAGCAGATGAAGGCAGTTAAGGCTTTTACCCCCACTGTTATAATTGGAAAGTATTTTGTAAGATAAACTTCATGATTTCTGCTCCATCTTTTATTTATGGTCAGTTTATACTCTTAAACTCTTGTGCCAGTATTGTTCTTAAGTAGCTCCCCTCCCTCCTCAGCATTTATTCCTTTGATGTATTTGTAGATAGTAATCATATCCCCATTCAGCCTCTGTCTTTGCC